TATTTACTTCTTAGTAAAGAAGTTTATCCATTTTATAAAATACAAACGTTTGATGACTTTAGATGTTATGCACCATATCAAATTTCACCAATACTGTTTTATATATAACGTCACGTCTTTGGAGTATTTAGATTCAATTCAATTCAATCTGCGAATTAGTTATAAGCGAAATAGAAAGTATTTTCGTTTAATTCCAGAGAATGAACCAAATTTAGAGAAAATATGGTCAAAACAATCCTCAAAATATCGTATCTCTTAACATTTCAATACCCATAGTATGGTCAATAAAAAGGCTGCTGTCTTGTCAGCTATATAAAAATGAATCTCACTTGGAACGATAATAACGAAGCTTGTTTGCTAAGAAACGATAACGATTTTTCCTACGGATCACTTTGTTAGTTGAAATTATATTGACATTTAGGCATTTAGACAATTTTAATCTTGCTAGTTATTAAAGATTACTATTAAAAATAAATAAATTTTGATTTAGACATTTAGGCAAAATTAACCATTAGGGCGACACCAAGTAAATTTATTGTTATTGGTTTTCATAACCCGGCCGGGTCATATGAAATTTAAATTTTGAGGCGCAGTCCAATATTGTATTGCATCAAACAAGTATAAAAATCGTTTATACGTACTTGCTTAAAATTTAAATTTCATAAACCGACCAGTTTTAGACCCAGCCAGGTTATGAAAACCAATAAATTTACTTGGTGTTGCCTTACTTCACGGAAAAGGTAACGGTAACGGTAAATAAATAATGCAAGTTGATGTAACACGATTTAATAACCAGGCCAGGTTTTTGTTGATATCGGAAAATTCTACTGTAATGTTAAATAAAATTAGGATTAGGTTAGGGCTATATACAAGTCAAGTTACATATAAAATTGCCTCCCCGACGATTTTAATTAGTATTCAAGCTAGATTTGGGCACCTGTTTCTCGTATTTTTTCGCATTTCTTGCATTTTCTTTTTCTTGCGTCGGATTTTTTTTGCCGGTCTGATAAAAATTTTTTGCATTCCTATTGGATGCTGGTCTATGATCGACAAAACCTGGCACATATTTCTGCTTAAAAAGAAAGAAAAGCCATTGGTCCACCTTTTGGGATTTTGTTGTTTTTTCACATTTGGCATTGTTTTTTTTAATATGGATTTGTTAGGTTCCGTGGTTTTTTTCCAGAACCATTTTAATCATATTAGAACCGATTCAGATGTTACGAGTATTCCGGTAAATTAGAAAAATAATAGTCATTATCATTATTTCAATTAAATATTAAAAATATTCTAAATAACCATAGAAACGTCTAACTGCTGTTTTCAACGAGACCAAACATGAAATAATTTCATCGATTCCCAGTCTATCTGATATCGAAGCTCGACTTGATGTTGAACTAGTCGATCGTACAGTTGGTCAACTGACAGAGTTTTCAAGAGACAAAGTTACTGATGTTGTTCCGGTTCTCCAGGCGTTATTTGACATGACGCCGTCTGTCTATTTCACTGAGGATGGTGGCGAATTTTGTATTCTACTGCGGCCAATAGAAAACAGTGAATATGGCTCAACATGGGCGACTTTTCTCGTCGACACTTTTAATTTGATAATTGGTGATCGTGCTATTAATTTTCAAATGGGAAAAAGTATTGAACAAGTAAATACATGATTAACTTTCTTGATACTTTTAATTCAATTAATAAATTTCTATGATTTTTAAAGCAGCTTTCTATATGCCAACCAGTACTGTCAGTACTTATACTGGCGGTACGTAAATTGACCCATTTTAAGCAAAGTTATCAATCATCCACTATCCATTGTATCAGTGACGAAAGTAAACAACTACTCATTATGGAGCTCAATTCGATGGACATGTATATTGATGGTATCTGTAACGCGTTATCAAACGAAACTACGAATGAAGTGAGAGCGTTTAAATGTATGTATATTAATATATATTAGTAATGAAGAAATAGTTGATTCACGCTAATTATGATTTTATAGCGAATTTATGCAAGCTTGCTAATAAGATAGAAGATCTTGTGCGTCTTTTGGGAAAAATTGATCAAGAGCTTGATGATGCATTGAATGGCATCAAAAACCAGCGACGAAATTGGACTGTTGGTTCTGCTGCTTCGACTGTGTGAGTGTTTTTTATCTATTTCGTACACATAAATGCTTTTATTATTAATTATAAAATGCTTTATTCTTTAGAGCAACCGCAGCTGCATTTTGGTATTTTGGAAAAAACTGGAAGACGCTTTCACGAACTGGGGTAAAAAATCTATGAATTTACATCTATGAATTTATAAATATTTTTTTTTGATTCTATAAATTCCAATATAGCAAGCTCTCGCTGGAGGAATAACACTTGCAAGCGCAACCACAACCGCCGGTTGCGTTTACATGCACGAAGATCTAAGAGTCAGCATAATGACCCACAAACATATCAAAGAGCTTCTTCGTGAATTCGGTAGAGATTTAGAAGACACGGCCAAATGTGCCGATTTCAATTTACAGACTAAAGAAAATAATTTCCGGTACCGAAAATCGATTTTGAATAATGCTTTTGATAAATTTAGAATCAAAATCGATGAAGTACGGTTAATTGGAGAATTGAATCTTATTGAACAAATATCTAAAGATAAATGAGTGGATGTTGTGTGTGGGAAGTTGGCTTTTTTTTTTAGTAATACATGTACAACAATAACTATTCACGTTGTAATGTAAGCTCATATATTCAAATATCGATATTGTAAATAAAGTCAGTTTATTGGACATAACGATAACAATACCGATACAACCGGATTTGATGTGATACACACGTTTCAGAATAAACAAAAAATAAATCCGATACCGGAAAATGAAAAATGCCTAAATCTAACTTGATGCGCTAACGCTAATAAAAAAACGTGTTGGGAAAGAAGTTTTACATATAACATTAACTTTCACTCTAATTCCACCCCTAACCCTTCTAAAATTAACCTCAAGTATTATAATGTGCCGGATTGCAGTTACTGCGGGTGTGCTTCCCGTATTTTTCACATTTTCTTTTCTTGTGTCGGATTTGTTTTACCGGACTGATCAAAAATTTACACAACCTTATTGATTGGGTGTACACAGATGTACGCCAAACTTTCATACGTTAATTGTTTATGTGTCTCAAGATATTCACTCAAAGGGAAGACTGAAAGACAATTGATATTAAATCTCTTATCGTTCATCAACCAATAACAATAAACTTTTTCCGGGCAATGAACTAAATGAACTACGAATATCAAATGAGTAAACTGGTGTGAGAAGTTTTTGCTGATCCAAACTTGTCACAAATTCAAATATGGAATATCGCATCTGTCCGATTTTCACAAGTGGCTAGGGATATTAAGGTCGATATCGATATTGCTCTTAAACCGCTTTGATAGGGGCCGGATTGGATTGTTACATGTGATTTCGATTATAAGTTTATCTTATTTTTATAGTGCTAGTTGCAAAACGATAACGAGAGCGCATGCTCTTTTATACAATTAAGAATATATGTTCAAAATTTACATAATTTGAGCTTTTGTTTTTGTATTTTTTTCATATGAAACATACTTGAAATTAATATTTGTACCCATCAGTCTTTTCCATGCCACAAAATCACAGATTAAGTATTGGTTAACGTTAACGATTAAGTAAAACAAAAAAATTGATGGTTTAATACATGTCAATAGTTCAATTACCATACTGTATACTATATCGATATACTGTAATGAATGTTATTTTTATCATTATAATCATTGTCTTACAATAGAAAGATATCAGTGTTAGTATTGGTATCAAGTAGCGTTGTTTGAGTTAGCTTTAAAATTGAAGCTGACTAAGCCTGTTTCGAGTTCAATACCGATACGTAAATTAGTTTACATAAACACACTTTTTTGGAGGATGCTGCTTATACAATTAATTCCATTTTTGAGAGTTTCGGGATGGTCGATCAATCATTTGAATCTGAACCCCTCGAAAAAAGATTGTTCAATCATACATTTCAACAGCTTTAACCTTCTAATGTTGATTTAGCACCAGAGGATAAGAATTAAATATTTGTAAGGATTCAACTAATTGAACTGGTGAACCAATATTTACTTTAAGCGGCATAATCCATAATCACGTGAGCGTTTGTCTGATACACTTTCTGAAGTGACTTATCGAGGTAAAGTGATAAGGATAATTGACATGTTTCTCTTGTAATTCTATACAAATTATCGTTATATGAAGTTAGCTATTATCCAGACTTGCTTGATGAATTTGCTATGAAAACCCATCTTCATTTTATTGGCTGAAATTGATCATCAATTTTAGCCAATGAAAACGAAGAGGGTTTATAAAACTTTCAAATTATTGTATGCAAAAAATATAACATTAATTCCCTATTCTTAATATATAGCTTTGCCACAGTTTCAAAAAACTTCGGATTGTTCCGCGCTTGAAACATTTTGAAGCTGTATAACTTTCTCAATGTATGCGTCAACGACGTTTTAAATTCGATGAGAAAAATTAATGTCGCGATCTGAATTTAGTTTAGTATTATGAAAAACGCAATTATGAAAGTATTATTTATTAAGCTTTTATCTCGGTTAACATTTATTGACAATGTGTTGCAATGTTTATCGATACTTCTTCGCAATTATCTTTTAAGTAGTGGTAAAGCTTTTTTTATCGTTATTAATTGTTCAACTTATCGTTATCGTTATGATTTGTTTACAAATAACGATAACTACATTTCCGAAGAAATCATAAATTCTTTGGAATAAATGCAGAAAGAGAGAGTGAACACTGTTGCACAATAATAAGTTTAATATGAATTCAAATAAATTAAATGCGTATTTTTACTTCATATTTACAGAATATTTGTGTTAGAAAGGTGTTAAATTCTTTTATTATTGAAATTATTATTATGTCTGAACCTAAAGATTCAAAACATCCAACTCAGACATAAAAACCAATATCCATGGACTAGTAGCAATGACAAAATAATTATTATGAAATGATTGGATTGAATAGATTTCATATGAGCAGCTTATACTTGAACAAAAATGAATTTTTGCAAAGTTCTTTATGTTATTTGGGAAAAGGACGAGTAATATCATATATATAACAAAATTAACCATTGACACGATATACGTATCGGCCAGTGTTGTCACGGGACAGATCTTGGACATTTTTAACAAAAAAACTCAATATTTTATTAAAATAACTTGTTTGAACACTAATTAAAAATGTTAGAATTTCACGTTATATATAATCATATATTTTTTATTTAATTTTTTTAATAGTACAAGAGTTTGGACATTTGGACAGGACAAAGTGCTTGGACATCTAAAATGTATATACAACACTGCGTATCGGTATAGAGGCATGAGTCTAATATTGATAGGGTAATCAGATCAAACCTAGAAAAGCCCGATGATCGGAGGGCCAATCACATGATATTCCGATGCAATTTTTGATCGGCATCCAATAAGAATGCAGAAATTTTCGATCAGACCGGCAAAACAATCCGACACAAGAAAAGAAAAATACAAGAAATGCGAAAAATACGAGAAACAGGTGCCTAAATCTAGCTTGGAGTACTAATTAAAAACGTCGGAGGCAATTTTACATACCACCTATATCTCAGCTCTAAACCCTAATCCTAAAACCAACCTTTTAATGTTAATTAATATTACAGTAGAATTTTTCGAGATCATGTGACTGCGCCCTTGATTATTGGTGATGCTGGACTTTTTTATTTGGTGTCAAAAACCAGCATGTTGTCAAAAATGTAAATTTAACTGCGATACTTACATATATGCTCTCTTCAGTGGAAATAATAAAATTGACGAGATCTTAGTAAAATATCAATTATCATTGAATTGCGTGGAACTCGTATAAACAATAGAACTTACGTATAACGGAAGAGAAAATCTTCAAGGTATATAAGGCTATTTGGAAACACGGCGGATATCGGACTTAAAAACATTCTTTAGGGAGAAGCACAGCTTAATGTATATTCAAATTAAATTTTGTAATTTTTACAAATACTCGCTATATCTGATATCGATATCGATGTAGTTTGAGTAACCAGATCTTGTGAAGCTCCATAATAATACTGCTTGTATATTCTAGTCTTTATTGTAAAAGTACGAAATGATGAATCAATCAGAAGAAGATAACGATGAAATATAACGATAAATGGACTGATGTCTGTTCGATATAAACAAGAATTGATTGAAGAAGATGTATTCTATAAAGTATACAATGCAATTCAAAAACGGGACGAGTTTATGATTTAATTAAGAAAACAATTAAATTGTTTATTTTACAGTTAAAGAAAGATTGTTCGAATTATATGGAACACTGAAGCATCCTTTTACAGAAGATACTATATATCATTATAAAAAAGCGAGATTTTTGTTCTATGTAGAACCCTTTGAATATCTTTCGTCAAATGTTTTAGATGTTATTTTTTGCCATGGTCAAATGGCAATGTGAGAATTGAAGAGTTTGCTATAAACATTCAATAAAATTTAAAGAACGTGATCCAAGTGTCAATATGGATGGATTGAATGGATTTCCTACATATAAGAAAATAAATTTATTAAAAAAGAAGATAGTGTGTTACCGAAAAGAACCATAATTATTATTAATAAACAAACCATAGTAAAATTAAAATTTTTCTTTATATTGAAATTTTCATTTTTTTATGAAATAATTTTTATTTATACGAGAATAAAGATAATAATAATCTATTCTTTGACATATAATTTGCTTGATTGCAAAATGTGTATAAAATTTTTTTGATAAAACACAGATTTAATTATTAAAAACTTTACACTCGTTTTGCATTCAAAAAATATTTTTTAATTAAATTTAAAAAATTCAAGAAAATTATATGTTAAGAATAAATTATTATCTTTATTCTCGTATAAAATAAAAATGATTACATAATAGAAATGAAAATTTCAATATAAAGAGAATATTTTAATTTTTTTATGTTTTGTTAATAAATTTTGGTAAAAAATATTACATGGAAAAAAAATCTCTAGAAAGATTGAACAATCTACACACTGTTCACTTAAATATTTATTTTGATCAGAGCAATTGCAATTACCTTTTTCAATTTTTTAAAATTGAATAGCTTTGTAAGGAAAAATTTTAAAATACTTGCCCTACTCTTTAATATACATATGATAAAATAGATATATGTAAATTGTTTATTTTAAAATTATTAAGTACAAAAATCTTTGTATTATATTATTTTTTATAAAAGAATCACCAATTAACTATCAAAAAGTTCTCATTCATTTTAAAAAATACAGTTCTGCGCAAGAAATTTTATTTTACGAAACTGCGAATATATTTGGTGGTTCAAATTGAATAATTTTGATACAATTCAATTTGAAACGAATCGAATGGTACCAAAATCGTATAATTTGGACTATATTGCTGCCATATTCATTAATATGGGGTGAAAAAAATATTAGTTTATAATTATAAATTTTATTTAGATTAAATTATTAATAAAATTACAGATAAACCTCCCTCTTAAATGTGCGCTCTATGTATTTTCTCAGCCCTCGCAATAAATGCACACCTCTCTAAATACACACTTTTTTCAAATTTTTACTATGGTCCCAAGGGGGGTGCATTTAGAGAGGTTTCTCTGGATTTAAATATTACAAAGGATTTTGGCTATGATTTTATAATAGTTTGTGATTTTGGTGGTAATATAATTTGGACCATTGGGTGGCGAGATATCGTGGCCGAAAGAAAATTCCTATCAAGTATAAATGGGATATTTCGAGTTTCCGATAAAAATGACACAAGTTTTAAGTGTCACAAATGACATAACGATAAATGATACAAAACTGTCCAATCGATAATAAAGGATTTGTGAAACAGGCAGCGGCGACAGCACAACTATGTAGAATAATGCAAAAAAATAAAGTTTGACAAATACGGTCGATATAACGACCATGCAGATTCTTTTGACTTTATATTGTTTACAATAGGATCTGCATGGTCGTTATATCGAAAGTCGACTAGCAGCACTTGAAAAAAAACCTGTTTGTGCGTGTCCACTGTCATGTATGTTTAAATTAAACCGTGAGTTTTTTTAATCACCAACAAAAAAGACGACCATGCAGATTCTATTGACTTTATATTATTTACAATAGGATCTGCATGGTCGTTATATCGAAAGTAGACTAGCAGCACTTAAAAAAAAACCTGTTTGTGCGTGTCCACTGTCGCGTATGTTTAAATTAAACCGTGAGTTTTTTTAATCACCAACAAAAAAAGACTATAAAACGTTATGTTATATTGTTTGTTTCGACTTATTTTTCTTGCTATTAAGACTTCTTTCCACATACCCATAAAGTTATACCTTCTATTTAACACGCCAATAACATAATATAAATGAGCATTATAGGTAAAATTCAAAGCCAAAAAAATAATAATACAAATTCTAATATTACTCTGAAAATTATTTAGAATTAATACAGCTTTTTAAAGTCTCTATGAATCAAGAAGCTTCATTTTCAGAAATCGAGAGAAAACTTAAAAATCATTTAGTAGAAAACCATATACCCGATCGAAATCTTCAAGCAATATTATTAAATTCATCATTGCCTTTGCATGTCACTGTGCTTGGTTTTTTGATTATTACCCGAACGATTATAGATATTAAAGTTGATCCACTCATCGTACCTCGCAATTATCCCGAATCGAAAAAAATGTATGCGCGCCAATTGATTCACCAATCGGCAGATCAAAACGAAATGTATGCTCAATTTCTTTTGGCGATTTCGTATCGTTCTGGGCTTTGGCATGTTCGTGATAATGATCAGGCGTTCCAATGGTATCAAAAATCTGCGAAATCTAATAACTTGGTAGCATATCATCATCTGGGAACTTGTTACCAATATTCAATTGGATGTAGGAGAGATATGGATAAAGCATACAAATGTTATTCGAAATTCGGAGATGGATTTCAAGACGGGTTGATGTCATTTTATTTAAAAGGAGAAGGTACCCAAAAAGATATTCATTCAGCCTTAAAATGCTGTTTAAAGTCATGTAAAGCTAGAATTTCGCAATTAAATTGATACAATTTGTATAATGTTTCAGTGCTTCTGTTATTAATAAATAAAGTTCATATATTAATCATAAACTGAAAGATTTTATTGTGAAATTTTATAACATTATTCTCTTTGCGGCAGCAACTATAGTACCCAGTATAATTGCCGGTTCAGTTGGTGGTAGATGGACAGACGCGGATCGTACATCTAGACCAGCAAGTAATAAATAGCCCAAGTGCTAGTCAACTAGACTTAGGTTCTACATGGTTTGCGTCTACGGAGGGAGCAGGAATCGTTATAAATCTGAAATTAGATAACACAAAAAACTATCTCTCAACGAGTCGCCAAAAATCGTTAACGACATCAGAAAGTAAAATTATTATTCGATTTTGAAATTGCATTGATGATTCTTTGGAGCATTTGTTGAATTTTGCTTGGGTGATGTTAAATTTCTTCGAACTGTTAGCGGTGAGTCGGTGTTTCCGTATTTGACTAGGCATTTTGATAACCTTGAACATTTAACTTTTGCCAAAGCTTTACATACAGTGCTCGTCAGAAGTAACCTACTCTTAACTCGGCTAAAAGGTAAGATAAACCTGTTTTTTTTATTAGAATGTTTACAATATATCCTGATAATTAATGCATTGTATAATCCCCCAGCTTCAATTAACGCCTCAACCCGACTTCTCATGCTATGGACAAGATTCGCGGCAGATCATCAGGTAAGCGATTCTGTTGCTAATTGTACCTTTAATCAATAAGAGTAGTAATTCTTTGCAATATTAATTTTCATCAACCTTCAAACATTCTCAATCGGATTTTGGTCGAGTGACATTGACGGCCATGGGATAACTTCGATGTTGATTTCCTTCTTCAAACGACTCACCAATTTCGAACGGTGTTTCGGTCGTTATCCTCTTGCAAAATCCACCCTTCAGAATTGTCCTCAAAAAGATACTCAACAGATCGGAGAAGACCGTGTAACCATAAATTCGGCATAAAGATTCTGTTGGAAGTAGACTAACTTACAAAAGCCCGAAGCAGAAAAACAACCCCACACATTGTTTTTAATGGATGCTTCACAGACCGGAATATTTTTCTTCGTCCAGGTAACTGCCAGATCTTAAATAACGACTGTTTTAGACGAAATGCGCTTTCGTCTGAAAATGTAACCTTACTTCAGTCAAAATTTTTATATTTTTTTGCCCATTCCAACCTTTTTTTATGGACATTGGTTTGGAAAGTTTCGCCATGTATTTGCCTTCATCTTCGTGTAAACGTCGTTGAATAGTTTTCAAACTAACAGCTTCGGAGTTATGGATCGATTTCTGCCGGATTTCGGTTGACCACTTAGGTCCTTTGTTTTCTGCCATCTTTAGACCCAATAAACTACTATGGACTTACTACAGTGAACATATTTAACTGTAACTTCAAGTCCAAACTTCGGATCTTTGGGGTGTGTATGTAAAAAAACGATTTCGTATCGTTTGTGAATTGGGGCGACATTACCGTATAGCGCTTACTACAATATCCCCTGGTAAAGTATGGGGATATTATTCAACTCCGAGTGCAGATATTTTTGAATAGTACCCGGGTACTAATCAGACACCTGATATCATAACATTATCAATAAAGATCCAACAAAATCGCGATTTATTGGAAACTTTAATATACGAATAATGTAATTAAATCTGTAGACAACAATGCTTTTGCTTTAGACAAGAAATATCGCAATACCAAAAAGATCTTTGTCGTTAATCTTACTGTAAATCGCGATTTATAGTACCTGACGAAGTACCCCTCTTATAGTATCCCCCCACACAGTATCCCCCGGGTACTATTCAAGTTAGTCTGTGAATTTTTGAATAAGACCGGTGGAACTGTAGTTAATGATACCTGACGAAACTATTTTAATGATGACGAAACATTTCG